GCGCAGATATTTCGCTGGGCAGGTGCTCAAGTGGAACAAAAGGGCATCCCTTGGACATTTTATTTTTATTTTTGCGCACATAAAGTGCTGGTTCAAAAAAAAGAAAAAAAAAAGTATTTTGCATATGCAAAGTGCACCTTGCTGGGAGGTTTCTGTCTACCAGCACCAGGGGGAATCTTGAAGCCCACAGAAATGAGCAGGGAAATGTCTGTCCAGCTTATGTATGAGGTGTCTAAATATTTATACTATATACACCTAGCAGCTGCATACATACTCATTCACTTTCTATATTAATCAGTGTAAACTGGGTAAGCTACATAGCTGATTCTCTACAGGGGTATGCAGACATGTGGTGAAGCAGCTATAACCTCTAAAGTGGCAGAGCTTGTTATTTCTGTGGTGCATAGTCTCAAAGAGGGTGCTGAACTTTGGCTTGTATTCTCAACAGGCAAATATTTCAGAGACTGTGCAAACTCGCCTTGTCAACTCAAAGGTCAATAGTGACATCTAGTGGCAGAACCTGCTGTAACAGTGAAGATATAATGAGTTTCCCTCTTATTCTAAATTTTGTGTTTAAATTCATGTGAAATACTACAAACATTTGACCCATTTAAACAGTTTTTTATTTATGCCAGTCTATTTTGTTTGTTGTCTTGACAGTTAACAGTGACTGTATACATGTCGTAGCATTATTTCTACCTAGACTGCATTATTATGTCATGCATTTGACGCATGATTGTGCCAATGATTGCATGTTTGACTATATTATCTGCAGTTCTTTTTTAAATACTGTCATCATGTCATTTCATGTTTCTTACGCATTACAAAGTTCATGTAATAATGCTATATCGTAGGCCACTGGACTTGCTTGTGTTTCTTGAAGACGTTTCACCTCTCATCCAAGAAGCTTCTTCAGTTCTAAATGACTGGTACAATGTTGCAGGCTTTAAACCCTGTGTGGGTAGGAACCCTTGCAGAGTCATAGGGGTGACGTGAGCTCTTAGTTTCAGAGTCGTTAAGGTCACAGTGTGAGTAGTTAGGGTCAGGTGGGACCAGGGGTGAATCAATCAATTATGCCTTGTCATAATTCACAAATAGATTATATTCCAACAACTCCTAAAGGTCAAGAGGATCCAAATCCAGCAAAATATTTAGTCCAAACACATTGTATCATTTCAAATGTTCAGAATCTCCCTCTCTTCTTATTGTACGTGATAACTCCCATTTGCATGTAAATATGCTTACTAATCACTGTCCAAATGCTGGGTTTACTCTAGTATAGCCTATAGCCATGCTCTCCTCATAGGCTTGCCAAAGAGAGCCTGTGTTGAAAGGAGGGGCCTGCCTTACTTCCTAGTTTACAGAGCCAATCAACAGACAGTGATTAGCCTGATAGCTTATGGCTTTTGTAGTCAGTTGGTGATTTTCAAGGATCTTTTCTTGGTAGGACAGGTCTTTCCAAAGAAGAATCCTACAAAGGCAAGGCAGGTACAGTAGGCTAAATGAAACATTTGTAAAAAGTAGTTTTAGAACTGTGTTAGAATGTGTAAAAAAAAACATGACCGTAGTCATTGTAGTGAATTTTTAGGTGACTTGAGGTGATTCTGTTAAATCTTTGGAATGTATGAAGCTCAAACATATTCATCACTCCATTAATTTGGACAATTAAATGTCTATCTAAAAATGTATGTCCTATTGTTTTGGGATAAAGAGTTGGCAATGATCCTTTCTGAATATGCAAAAGGTGTTCACAGGTGAGGCCAGGTAAAGTTCTTTTGTGGCATTGATTTAAACCACCACGCTATGTACAGTACATACACAGACACATGCAGAATCAGGCCATGATTTCAAAGTGTTCCATATTTTATATATGTACCAACACACACTCAGCTTCAATAGTGCAACTAGTGTTATCTACAGATGAGGGAGGTCTGAGTAAGTGCCTGTCTGTTTGTGTTCTCACACACTGTCCTGACAGTGTCCTCAGTGAAAAACAATTTGAACAAGTTAAGTGTGGGTATCTGATGGACTCGGTTAGACCCCAGCTGGTCGTTCAGGATGAAACTGCGTATTCGGAGGGGCCACGTGGGTGTGTATGAGCTGGCTGGGCTGGTTGGGCTGCCTGTGCACAGTGACCCCTGCTGGTGTAAATATAATGAAAATAGAAAAGTATTGAGGAAATGTTGCATATTCATTAAAAAAAAGAAAACAAAGCAAACAAGCAAAACGCACACATTGTAGCTCAGTGTGTGGTTATACACATATAAAATATTCAACACTTCGGAATCACAGTGTGATTCTATGTGTGTCTGTGTATACGCTGTAAAGGGTGTGGTGATTTAAATCAGTGCCACAAAAGGACTTTACACTCTGTAAAGGGATTAGAGAGGGTGTCTCTGTGAGAGTGTATGCGTGGAGGCTTTACCTGACCTAACCTGTGAACAGCACGTTTTGCATATTCAGTGGAAATTTGATAACACCACTGCCAACTCTTTGTCCCAAAACAATAGGACATACTTTTTTTGGATAGCCATTTCATGCTCCAAATCAATGGAGCAGATCAAAGTGTCAGTGCTTCATACATTCCTAGGACTTGTCAAAATCACCTCAAGTCTCCTAAAAAATCCATCACTTAGGGTAAGATCATGTTTTTACACACTCTAACACAGTTCTAAAACTTATTTTTACAAATATTTAATTTACCTGTTGTTATTTTTTCAAGTATAATCATGAAATACATACTACATAGATATTATTGTAGCTGAACTTGTGCTGAAGTCAAAAAGTCACGTGACTCTGAAGATACTGCTTAGATTTGCTCACATTTTACAACAACACCAGAGCATGTAATAAATAGTTAATGTACAGTGAACAAAAATGTAAAAGCAACACTTTTTCCTCCCTCTTTTTTCAAAATTCCTTCAATAGATTTTTTCTCATATTTTGGTTGCAAATTTTTGATATCTATGTTGGTGAGCACTTCTCAGCATCATTACTACACAGGTGTGTCTTGGGATAGTCACAGTAACAGGTCAGTCTATAATGTGCAGTTTGATCACATAACAAAATGCCACAGTAACCCAAGTTCTGAAGGAGTGCGCCATTGCAGGAATGTCCACCAGAGCTGATGCTCTTGAACTGAATGCTCATGAGCTGTCTCCAATATCGTTTCTGTGAATTTGGCAGTACACCCAGCTGCCCTCTCAACCACAGACCATGTGTAACCACACCAGGTAAGGGCCTCCATATCCGGCTTTTTCACCTGCAATCGCATTGCATGAAGCAAAATGGTGTCACACCAGATACTGATTCTTTGGGGTATCTGTGACCAGAAAATGCATTTCTGTGGCACTACTCATGAAATCCTGATACATGTCTTCTTTTAAGATCAAACTGCACATTTTAGAATGTCCTTTCATTACGACCAGCCCAAAGCACACCTGTGTCGTAATCTATTTAAAAACTGTTGGAAATTCGATGACCCACCTGCAGGTCCTCCTTAGATGATTTTCAATGATTATGATATGTAAAACAACTACTGTAGTAGTGGTAGTTGTTTAGTCATATGACCTATTGTTCAGCCACACACTCCTTGTAGTTCCATTTATATTGACCACTTGGAGTTACAACCACCACAGCAGGTTCAATAAACACTTCTGTCAGAGAAAAAACAAACAAACAAATAAACAGTCTTAACTCACATAAAAAGCCTTATCAGAACCCATAGATCAGATTTTCCAGACTGAACCACAGCTTCCACAGCGTTCACCTCATCTCATGCACTCTCTGAGGTCCACATGATCTAAATCCAGTGAAATATTTGTCCAAACCCATTATTACATCCATATCCACAAACTGCCATTACATTGTTTCATATATAGTGCTCCAGGAATAACAAAATTAGGGATAAGGGGATAAGACAATTGTTATGCCCTTTATGAATCATAAAGACGGGGTTTTTTTATGGTCGTATTTTATACTGTAGAGCCAACTGTGAAATTCCTATAAGTGTGTGTAAACCACAGACCTAATTTCAGGCATATAACCAAAAACCCATTCAAAAAAATCCACTGACATTGAGATCAGGGAACGTTGGGTGGTTAAACACTAAGCCGTTTCAGGGTTTTAAGACACATTCCTGGCACACTCTATTTCTCTACATCTTGGTAATTTCTTTCATTCCACCTACTAAGAAACCAGACTGCAGGTGACCATGGTGGAGGTAAACCCCTGGCCTTTTTACTGACACTTCATTTGAACCAATACTGACCAATTTCTCATCAATGTAGGTTTTCCAGAAGTGTTTTTACACACAATAAGTGTTTTATACACAATAAACTCCTAAAGAGACATTTCTGTCTTTGCTGATTAGTGTTTAACTCATATTCACACATTCAGTACATTATCCTCTTTTATTGGAAAAACACCTGGACAAAGCCTTAATAAAACATATTCAGAGGATCAAAAAACTCCTTTTATTTCAGTGTGTTGAAACTTATGTAAGCCAATGACAGAGGCACTTGCAGTGATTCTGACTAATAGGGAAAGAATTCAGAGTGCTGCCTTTCCAATGAGACCATGCATGTACAGGTACTAAAAATGGAACAAGAACAGCTTTCGATTTACCTTGGGTCTGCCTTGTGTAGGTGAATTTCGGTGACTTTTACAAGAGTTAAAGGGGTTTTCACCCTCTGGGCATTATGATAAACATGCCATGTATTTAGATTATCTTTTCGTTTATCTTTCGTTTTTAGTATACAAGCATGACAAAAATAATGACAGAAACCTAATCGTTTACATGTTTTTATGTTTATGAGATGGTTTGAAAATAACGTGATTTAGACAAAACATAAAACGTTTAATATTACTCAGACACACAATACATGGAGCCCTGAGTATCAACCCCCCACCATTCACATGGTAATGAGCAGACGATGGCTCTCGCGCTCTCGGTGTCGATTGGTTTCCCTGTCGGGGTAGTGCGGTGAGAACGCCCACAGCGTAGGCCTACATGATCAGATGGGCTGCAGGTTGCAAGATAACTCAGGGAAGCCGGTGAAGCGGTGTGCAGGGACCACGTTTCAGGACACCGGCGACAATTTGGCCAGCTCATCAGATGCGAGGACTGTGATACTGTTGGTCAGTGCAAGGACACGGCATTGTGAAGATTCCGAGGATAAGCGGTCTCGTTTTGAACTACGGTCCAGTTGGAGCTCAACTTCAGTAAGTGTAAATATTTCGTGTGACCACATGAGTAGTGCACGTGCTGTGGGGTGCAGATTCTCCGCCTGTGTCTTGAGGAAATGACACCAGGAACAGTCACGAGGTTGAGTAGCAGGGGCGACCAGTGTTACAAGAGTAGCGTGGCTCTCAGGAGGCAGGGCAGTGTGTGCTCATGGAGTGTATGGAGGAGTGAGAGAGCGAGCGGGTGATTCGGATGACTGTGTAAGCAGCAGAGCTGAGTGCGGGAAAACGTGGGGACACAGCTCACAATAAAGTGGTCAGGTTAGCAGTAAATGTGAAATGTAAGTCACAGTATTATGTGTGTTGCATTCCAGCTGCTGGCAAAAGCGAGTGGGGGTTAACACCGAGGTTACTTCTGCCCAGGGGGTAAACAAATCTCCCCTGTGCTTCATGACCACGGTCGGAGAGCGGAAGCAGGGACGGTTAACACCGGGAAAACTAGAAACACGTTTTGTTTGGGCGTCGTGTGTGTTTGTGGTATTCACTGTCAGGACATTGTGTCAGAATACAAACCAACCAACAATAGCTTTGCGGTGGTGTCTCTGTTTCGCTCTCCAGTTTCACCTCCAAAACAACAGTTAGTGGTGGGGTTTCTGTTGTTGATTAAAAGCACACATTAAACACTGCTTAATACAGGGTTGCCAACAGCAACAACAACAAAAAAAACTTAGAGTGAGATTCAGCGGGGCCGACCATAATTTCGTTAAGCCGACACATAAGATTTTTGTTTTGTCAACTGATTTGGACGATGCGATCCTGATCCCCCGCATCCTAATGGATTTTTGGGGCGCCTGCTGGAGATGGATAGGGCCTAATACCTTACAGAACCTATGTTTTCATCCAGTAGTGATTCGAATCATTGGGAAATGCGCATTAAAAGAAATACGAATCCTGTGTGTTTCCACTGAATGTACAAACTTTGGTGAAAACTACGAACTCGCGCGAGTTTTCCGCAGAACCGCAAACAAAACAAGGCTGCGGTCGAAAAGTCTTTTTTGCTTAGGAAGGTTCCTAGCTGAGTGAAATGACCAAGGCTTTTCAAGAGAAGGCTGAGACACGGGGTCAAACATGGGGGGACTGCACATGCGCAGTGTAACTTGAGCTGCGATGCTGGAGGGTGACAGCAGGGGCGCTGGATAAAAAAGCGCAGGATCCGCTCAGGCGATCAAGGAGTGCGCTTGGTGCGGTTGAATAGCCTTGATTCAAGAGAAGGCTGAGACCACAGATATTGGATGAAGCGAGATACCCCACCGTAGGCTTATCCAAGTGGGCGTGGTTAGCTCTCCCTCCAATCAGAGCCTGTTCTCCCCCCCCCCCCCCCACACACACACACACACCATGTTGAACAGAGGTTCTGTGGATGTCTGTGTATGCGGATCGAGAAGCAGGTGGAATGAAAATACATTCTTCCTATTATTGCAGCCTATTGCTGCACAAAGCTTGGGCATTTTTTATTTATTACTAGCAGTAAATAACTGTTTGCAAGCTAACTGTGATTTTACCACCTGTTTATCAAGATCATGAGATCTCGCGAGAACTTGTTTTCTGAGATGGACAGGGCTCAAACAAAGTTAACTTTCTCTTGATCTGTGCGGATGAAAAATGGAGCTTTAGTGTCAGAATTTTAGTAAGATGTGCTTGTGGAAAATTAACCCAATATTTACTTTAGTGACAATAAGGCGAAAGAATTGACCATAAATTGTGATCACGTTCATTTTTCTCATTGACGACAATACATTCAGAGCTGCCGCAAGTCTCCTACGGGGGCGTGGCGCTGACGTCACTGAATCAGGAAGTGAGCTGAGTGGGGTATCTTGCTTCATCCAATATCTCTGCTGAGACACAAACACTGGGGGATTGCACATGCGCAGTAAAATCTGGTCTGCACTTCCTCAAAGGCTCAGTAGATGGCGTGAGACCGCAGAATAAAGGGGATGTGCATGCATGTCATTTTCACAGCTTATTACTGGACTGTCACTGGTGGCCTGCGTTGTGGGTGAGAATGACAGAGATGCAATTCCGACAACTTCAGGCAGTCGCCGTCCAAAAGTCCAAGCAGACCGCACCAAGCGCACTCTTTGATCGCCTGAGTGGATCCTGTGCTTTTTATCCAACGCCCCTGCTGTCACCCTCCAGCATCGCAGCTCAAGTTACACTGCGCATGTGCAATCCCCCCATGTTTGACCCCGTGTCTCAGCCTTCTCTTGAATAGCCTTGTCTTGAATAGCCTTGGAAATGACCCGGAAGTATTATAGTGGCAGCCATGATAAGAGCTGTTCGAATTCTCTTAACACTAAGGAAAGGAGGTTCAGTGCTTCCTTTCAGATCTCCTTTAGCACAGGATACATCGGACCTTCCTAAGCAATAGGAAAGCAGATAATTCCATCCCACAAGTCATTGCGGCGGCAATATTTACGCACCATTCACAAACTCAAATGATTAGGAAAGAAAAAGATCAACATGACCGAGAAAGGAAGGAGATCACCATCTAAGTTACCGCTGTTTATGAAGCATTATACATCTCATGCCATAACTTGTTCATATGCTATATGTTGTCAACTTTCAACATTATGTTAAATTTAGATGCGAACTATGAACGTTTCGCTACTATTGGTGTAGGCTACCCTCCGTCCACAGCTTTGTTTAACTTGTTGTATAACAGGATAAACAAAAATGCAAATATACAATGCATCATTTTAATTTTCCAATTTTCGTGTGAATGAGAAAAAACGGAAATCCATGCGCTTTTCCCATTTTCGTCTTCAAATGGCTAATTGATATAGAAATTAAACCAAAACCAGAAACCTACCTGTTTTTCGCCTTTATTGTTAAATCTATATTATCTGCCCCTACTGTATCTCAAAACATTGGCATCGGCTATGCTTATGGCCTAGATAGATAGATAGATAGATAGATAGATAGATAGATAGATAGATAGAGACGCTGTGCGCATTTACGCACGAGGCACAGCAGCGTCCCTTTTATTATTATTATTATTATTATTATTATTATTATTATTATTATTTATCTGTCTATCTATGCAGTAAGAGCACATAATATTGATTTAATAAAGGCCAAACACAAGTTAATTACTGGTTGTGGTCTAATTTCTACTCCAATTGCCCATTTGAAGAAGAAAATGGAAAAAGCACATGGATTTCCATTCTCTTTTTATTCACATGGAAAAACAAAATAATGCATTTAATATTTGTTTATCCTGTTATAAAACAAACAAGTTGAACACAGCTGTGGACGGAGGGGACACGCACCGTAACATATGCTCAGTTTGCATCAGTCATTTATTCATTTGAGAGTTGTTGTATTGCCAGCCTTTAGTAATATCATTAATTCATTTTACTACTTGGGATTCAGATGGGTGAGTGTGAGCAAACATTCTCAATGTGACAATTTCATTTCAGTTTGTGGCTGGCAGCCTATATTCCTTTTTTTAATTCAATTCCAACCTTAGTAATTAAACTATCTTTCACCGTGTTGTCCACGTTTATATATCCTGCATGAAACAACATGATGAGAACGTATGCCCCATATGTTCTCATCGTGTGCATTTTGTAGTCCATCTTCAGAACATTGTAGTTTCACCACAGCAGACCCACATCAATAACATCTGCCGTCGCATGATGACGTAGCCCAGCATAAGTGAGGTCGGATTTTCTCAGCTCTGCGGTTCTCTTTTCCTAAGTCCTTATGAATTCTCCTACTCATCTTTCCTTGACCTCGTGACGTTTCCCACCAAGGTCAAGGAATAGTGATTAGGAATAGATGATAGGAGAGACTTTCCGACCGCAGCCCAAGTCTCGCATTCTTCTTCTTCTACATTTTCTGGCGGTTGGCAACCAGCTTGTAAATGCATTACTGCCTTCCCGACCCGGAGTGTGGATATCACCATGGAGAGAGGTGTGCTACGTGCATCTAAACATACTGATGGAAACATTAGCCATGTTTCCATCAGCATGTTTAGATGCGCATCTAACGCCAAAATTCGAATTAAAATCCCCTGATTCACAAAACTAAAATACAATATGTAAATATAATAAAAAATGGAGAAAGGAGCAATGTCCGATTACATTGTAAATTTTATTCACTTTTAACATAAATATGTTCATAACCAATTGATTTATTTTAAGTTTGTACTTATTATAACTTCACGATAATTTAAATATTCTAATTGGATGCCTTTATCACCAAAACATGGGGTTTGGCACCAAAATTGCTTGTCTCTGATAAATAGTAAGGAGCAATGGTCATTTCTAGTGGTCAGACTTTAGTAGGCTTTTAGTATGTTATTAAGTACACCCAATACTACAATAAACCACTGAAAAACCCTTTGTTAGAATTTTTTAGAGTCAAGCCATAATTGCAGCTGACTAGCAATGTGACCAGCGAATTTAAAAACCAAAGGTCAACATTGGGGTAGCCTTTCCCAGGTGGAAAGAGCTGCTGAAGGTGAATCCACTATCCGTTTGAATGCAATATATGATTTCAACGTTAGATGGAAGAAATTCCTACACACTATGGCTTTAAGAAATTCAGGCAAAGATTCAAAAGCAAAAAAAATATCAGCATTTGGAAGTTTATATAACCAATGACAGTGATTCTGACTGCTGGGGAATAAACTTCAGAGTGCTGCCTTTCAAATGAGATCATGCATGTACATGTACTAAAGATGGAACAAGAACAGCAGACACAAACACACAATTCAGATCTAATTGGACGACACAAGATGATCAGAGAGGTGTAGAAATGCTGTAGAAACATTTCGGTTCTCACAACTGCTGTTTGACTATGCTGCTGCAACATCTTAGTGTTTTTGCATTTGCATTGCATTAATCTCTTTCTTTTTTGTCCTCATTCAGACATGATGGACGAAGACAAGGCCATGATAGAGCTGCAAATCAAAGAGGAGCTGCAAGTTAAAGAGGAGCTGCAAGTCACAGATGAGCTGCAAGTTAAAGAGGAGCTGCAAGTCACAGATGAGCTGCAAGTTAAAGAGGAGCTGCATGTCACAGAGGATCTGCACATCAAAGAGGAAGAAGAGGAGTGGACAGTGACCCAGAGATCCTACAGCCCCCCGTGCCAGTTGTGGTCGTCAAAACCCTTTGGCCTCACCTCCAGAAAACAGGAAATAACAGAGGAAATGGTATTTTATTTATCGTTTATCATCAATAAATTCAGCTATCATGTCATCCCTCTACCCGTGAAATGTTCCCCGTGCCACTGGCTGCAACACAAGCCCAAAGCATGATAGATCCACCCCCGTGTTTTACAGATGGACAGGTGTTCTGTGAAATTTTGCACCCTTTTTTCTCCAAACTTAATTTTGCTCATTGCATCCAAAAAGTTATATTTTAACTTAATCAGTCCACAGGACTTGTTTCTTGTTTAGATGTTCCTTTGCAAACTTCTCACGCTTTTGTGGTGAGGACACAGGAAAGGTTTTCTCCTGATGACTCTTCATGAAGGTCGTATTTGTACAGGTGTCCCTGCACAGTAGAACAGTGCACCACCACTCCAGAGTCTGATAAGTCTTCCTGCGGGTCTTTTGCAGGCAAATGGGGGTTCTGATCTGCCTTTCTAACAATCCTACAAGCAGCTCTCTGAAAGTTTTCCAGACCTCAGCTTGACCTCCACAGTTCCTGTTAATGGCCATTTTTTAGTTACATGATGAACACATTTTACCACCTTCTTGTAACCTTCTCTTGCTTTGTGGGCATCAGTTATTTTAGTTTTCAGAGTACTAGGCAGCTGTTTAGAGGAGCCCATGGCTGCTGATTGTTAGGACAAGATTTCAGGAGTCAGAGTATTTATAAAGCTTTGAAATGTGCATCACCTGGCCTTTCCTAATGATGACTGTGAACAAGCCATGGTCCTAACAAGCTAATTAAGGTCCGAGACCCTAAGAGGCCGTTTACACGTTGCCAGCTATTTTCATAAACGGACATTTCACCGTCTCCGTCTTCAAAAAGATCTTCGTTTACACTTACCCATGTATATATACACAAGAGCATGCCAAACCTGTAGGTGGCAGTGTAACGAGAAGCTCAAGCCTTCCATGTATCCATTGTCACCATAGCAACATAGGTCGCACTTTTGACACAGGCGCAAGTTCCGGCGCATACTGTGACGTTGACTGCCTATAACTCCATTTATCTCAGTTTACATGCAAACACGCAACCAGAGTTTTCCAAAATCTCCACTCTGGCCGGAGTTTTTAGAAAGACTCGTTTTCAGAGGAGAAATCTCCGTTTGCGTGTAAACGAAGGGCACAAAGGAAGGAAGATGTCTCCGTTTATCAAAATCACCGTGTACATGTAAACGGCCTCTCAGTTGTCTGAGAGCGCAAATATCATGGGGTGCTCATTTCTTTTTTTCTAACCAAAATGAATACGGTAATATTGCTGAAAGTGTTGAAAAAGCATGTCTCATCTTTAACCTCTTGCCTCTGGAGAGCAGTTCATCTTACACTCACTTAACTATTTATAGTAAGGACATTTTGACCAGGGATGCCCAAACTTTTGCATGCTGCCACCATGTATACAGTACAACCCTGATAATAGGGCTGGGTGGTATGACAAAATTTTCACATCACGTTTTTTAAAAAAATTCACGGTATTTGACGGTATTTTGCACGGGTTCGGCCCACCTGACATGCTGCTGTGTTGTGTAATGGCCTATAATTTGTTATTTACGTGACAACACCTGAAAGCAACACAGGCTCCGCTCCATTAGTGCCGTGCTCAGTTATAATTGTCTCAGACTCGGGACGGGTCGGCTTCGGTCAGGAAAATGCAGCCCGAGGCGTGCGTGCATGTGTCCCTACTCTGAAGTGAATGTGTTAAATGCTTAAATAACTGTGCACCTGTTCACATTGAGACTTCATGGTAGTATGTGAGACATCAGGCTCTGAGAGAGCTACATAAAACTGAAGTCATATCTAATTAAAGCCCTGCTACACAGTACTGCCATCAACTGTGTGTGTGTAGTTGCATATAGGGGAAACACTGCTCTTTTTGGTATGAGTTCTTCTGAGTCATCGTGTACAGTTGCTTCGCTTTCAGGACTCTCTCCGGCAGCCATTCTCGTCTCTAAACTTTTCTCTATGCTCTGACTCTCGCCGGCTCTAGCGCGCCTGTGGTGTACAGTGGTGAAATGGGTCCCTGCTGAAACACTTTCGCGCCTCGTGCGTTCCGGATGTTGTTTGGGCTATTCACCGGTATTGCGGGAGGCTACATGAATTCATATCAAAACAAAAATAAATACCGGCTTTCGGTACGAACTGATATACCACCCAGAAAAACAAAAAAATGGGTGGGAAAATAAAAAAAAAGATTTGCATATCCTTTCACTTACATTCAGTTGAATACAATACAAAACAAGACAAGATACTTCATGTTAAAACTGATAAACATCATTGTTTTTTGTTTATGTACACTCACTCTGAATTTGATGCATGCAACACATTCTAAAAAAATATAGGACAGGGACAATAAATGACTGGGAAAGCTGTGGAATGCTCAAAAAAACATGTTTGTAACAATTCACAAGTAAACAGGGTAACAGATGATAGGATAGGATAGGGCTGAAATGATTCCCTGAGTTACTCGAATATTTGGCTTACTATTAAGCCTCGAGGCAAAATATTTGCCTGGAGGCAAATATATCACAGATATTGCTATGCAAACCGATTGAAGGGTGTTTCTGCATCAATTTGTCTGACTGTGGGTGTGTAAACAAAGCTTGTGCATGCACGTCCAGCGCCACAATGAAAGAGATACAAGTGCACTTGAGGCTTTGTAACTCCATAAGCTCCATAAGTTTAACATCCTGGAGTAAAAGGGACCTACAAACAACTTAATCAAGCAGCCAGCGGGTCATTGAGCTGACGTAAAGTGGTCCTGAGTGAAGTCTTTGTAACCACAGCAACGATGATGCTGAATGACAGACATGCCATTATTTGACATTCTCCTCCACAAATTCTGATTCAATATTTCTCTGCTATGTCTTGTGAAACTCTTTTGGTTTAATCGTTCATTCCCAGCATGTCAAGAACATAGTTTAGAATGACATAAAAGATAGAGTCCACACACCAGAAGCTGCTCCTTGAAGAATTTATTAGATGTAACGTTTTGGGCTCCTGCCCTTCTTCAGACAATAAATTCTTCAAGGAGCAGCTTCTGGTGTGTGGACTCTATCTTTTATGTCATTCTCACTTTTTGGTCCAGCACCCAGCATTAAGTCTTTTGGAATGTGCATGCTATCTTTACCCATTTATGGAAGAACATAGTTTAGGCATTGTGTGCACAGGAATATGCAATAAACTGCATCCCTTATTGAATTGGTATGGGACAGTACAATTTTTTTTTTTCAATATGGAACAATCCTGTATTATATGGGACAGGTGGCAATTCTATCATCTACGTGCCTCAGTGTGGTGCTAGCGTCAATCACATTACCTCAGTTTTACTAACCTTAGTTTTAGCCAGACCTCAGCAGAAAAAGAGTCTGTTGCACTTTTATGGGCACTACTGTGCTACTCGGTCAATTAATCGACTTCATTACTAAAAAGCTATTTGACTCAGAAAGTAGTGACGTTACCACCATGCGACTGAGAATGCTGTTAAATTTGTAACATTGCTACTTGTAGTGACGCTATTGCCCAACACTGGTTATGCTTTACAGCATGAGAAATAGTGGTGTAGCTAGAGTGTGTGTGTGTGTGGAACCAGTCATTTGCCTGAATCTCATGCTGATTGCGGCATAGTAAAATGCTCTGACTTTCAAAAAAGGTTGTTGCTGATTTCTCTCATTTCAGAGACTTTTCTTATTTTCTCTTTCATATATTACTATAGGCTCAGTGCACAAACTTGTGACGTACTTCTGATTTTTGCCAGTGAGCGGCAAAGGAGTTTCTGGTTAACTTCGAGCTTCACCGCGTCACCATGAATTTCACAAGATGTCTTCAAAATCTTCCAAAAAATATTACTAAATTATGTGCATCGTATGGTGGATGCCAACTCCCCTGCTCACAAGAGCAAGCGGGAAAAGGGTTTTCGTCTGTATATATCCAGTTACTTGCACCAGTATGAGGGTAAGTAGATTATATGGTGATGTTAGCCAACCAGCTAACGTTAGCAATGTGCTAATTTTTTAGCTTTGCGTTTGTTTTCGTATTTTCTTAATTGTTAGTTATTGTGCTAACTGTATTAACTTTCTGTCCCTCTCAGTGTCAGACAAAGATCAGGGCACAGGTGAAGTTGTTCTCTGGGCATTCTAGATCCATGAAGAAAGCTGAGAAGCCTCACAGTTTGAGTGTATGGTGATTAGTGAAGCTAGGATCGATAAGACAGAACAGTTATACGCCTGTTGCTTCAATAACCCAGTGTTCCCAGTGTTCCTGGGGACTTAGCTAAGGTCATACATGTTTAATGCAATGTTAACTCTTAAATCTGCACATAATGAAGAGTGGTTAAAATAACAGGTAGGTTCTCCTTGCTGTTACCCACTGGGTTACTGCATGCATTTTTTTCATGTTATGATGTTGTTACTGGTACTTTATTATAACCCAGTTCCTGATGTTCCTGGGGACTTAGCTAAAGTCATTCATGTTTGATGTAAATGAATGAGGTGCAAGCTGGTGTTGTAGGTATTAGGCTATCATGAATCAAATGAAATTGATTAGGGATATTGATCTAGTGCAGTTCAAATGTTATACAAAATACTCTAACATACATGCTCAGTGGCTATTAGATATAAAAAATATTTAAAAACCCAGATTGTGACCTAAAAGAATGACTAAACAATGAAACAAATCAAGATTAATAAGTATTAACTATGACATTTTACTTTTGCAGGTAGTACTGAAAGATTCCAGTCCCATGGAGCTGATTCATCACAGCTGCACATGTGTGGCTGGAGTACCTTTATGTAACCACTGTATGCTAAGCTGTACCGAGGGAGAACAACAATGGCACAAGCACAGAACTTTGGTAAATCAAGAAACAAGGCATATTTACCTGTTGCCTGTCATTACACACGGGTTGGGGATATTTTCTAAACTATATCCTGCCTAACTTGATAGGGTATAAAGCCAGGCCCTGTGGACAGGATGGCTGTACTGTCTGCTAAACCAAAGTGTGGAGCAACAACAGAGGGTGTAAGGTAAAAGCTGAATATTGTAGATTTATTACAATATTCTACATGATTGTTTGAATGAAGCGGTCGCAGGTTCGATTCCGGCTTGCAACCCTTTGCTGCATGTCATCCCCCCACTCACTCTCTCCACATTTCACACTGTCCTGTCAATTAAAGGCAAAAAGCCCAAAAAATAATCTTTAAAAAAAGAAAATATGTGTATGAAACTTATGTATGTTTTATGCTTCACACAGGAGCATACTCTACAAAGGCCTCAGTGGGGATTTACCTGATCGCTCCGTCCTTCAGGTGAGTAGGGATATAACAATATCAACACGCCCACATGTTGCTCATTGAAAGTATGGGGAATGTTTATGGTGAGGTAATTATGATTTGTTTATCCCTAGGTGACAGAGGTGTATAAGGACTTCTCCGCAGCTGAGGCGCCGATGATCTGCAGCATGGGCATCAGTTGTGAAATTCCTCTGGCTGACTCTGCCCTTGGCCTGGTTCAAGCCGGAAGTCCATTGTCCTACCAGCAACCAGCAACAGCGAAGAGAGACCTGTCCTTCCATGCTGCCCCACCACCTCCATCTATGCCTCTTCGGAATTACAGCCTGCAGCCATCCAGTTGCATGTTTGTCTGTAGTGAACCACAACAGCTACATCTTAAAAGTCTTGAGGTCACTTGGGACATGGCACACAAATTTGAGTGTGCTACCAGAGCACAAAGTTTATGTGGTGAACGGCATCAGTTAAAGAGGCCTAGACTGACTGCCTCATGGTTCAGGGAGATCTGTCAGGTCAGAGAGAGCTCTGAAGACAGTCTGGCTGCCCGGATACTGCAGGGGACCCATCAGACTGCAGCTATGAAGAGGGGGCTCGAAATGGAGGCAGATGCCATCTGGGAGTATTGCCAGATGAAGAGGGTCAACCACTACCCCTGTGGATTTGTAATCCACCCTAACGCCCCTTGGTTGGGGGCATCTCCAGATGGGTTAATTTTTGACCCTTCAGAGCCATATCAGTTTGGTTTGATTGAAATAAAGTGTCCGGATGTGAAAAGCTACACTGACTGCCCGTATCTCAAAATGAGTTCAGGCAAATTGGAGCTCAAACAAACGCATGCTTATTACTCACAAGTACAAGGGCAGATGCTTATAACAGGAATGAGTTGGTGTGATTTTGTTGTCTCAACTGAGGAAGACATACTAATTCAAAGAATTTACAAGGACAGTGACATGTTAGATGTCATCAAAGAGAAAGTGGACAGGTTTTATTTCCATGTCTACATGCAGAAATGCATGTAATGTGTTCAAATCCAGTCACTATGTTTAATGTAAATATGTTTTATTTTGAACTTGTATAAATTTATGATGTAACGCTGAATGTGTAATAAAGTGTGTTAACATAGCGGCGCATTTATGGAATCAGATGACTGTTTTATTAAAATCAAAACTGAAGCAAAAGTGTGTGTATCTCCTCCTCATGTCTCCACTGGGCCTGGATACGGACTTGATGTCGGTTAAGTCCGGCGCTCCCAAACACTGGCCCGTGTCTTGCTGTTAGCAGCTAAAACCCGTCTACGCTTAGCAATAATATGAATTTGGACTTTTTCGAAATGTTGGCTGCATACCTTCGTATGCCGAGTTACCGAAAATCCCGTCCTGTGAATCTTGTGCAGCCACTGCGCATGAAGTCCGGTGTCTTCTGGGAAGCAGTGGAAGCTGAGTTCACCGCTATAGCGACTTGAACCGGTACAAAGCGCCTGGCATGGGGCGTCGGTGGCTTAGTGGTAGAGCAGGCGCCCCATGTACAAGGCTGTTGCCGCAGCGCCCGGGGTTTGAGTCCAGCCTGCAGCCCTTTGCTGCATGTCATCCCCCCTCTCTCTCCCCCTTTCACACTTACCTGTCCTGTCCATTAAAGGCAAAAAATGCCCCAAAAAATATCTTTAAAAGCATCCCTGACATTATATTTCTTCTTTTTCTGTACAGTTACAGCTCTCGTGTTTATGTTGATTGATTTTTACCACTGTGTTGACTGGAGTGGGAAGTGAACCGGAAACTCCATAGCCGTTCACTGGCGAAAATCAGAAGTGCGTCACAAGGCTTATGCACAGAGCCTATTGATAGAATACTCGATTACTAAAAGAATCAATAGCTGCAGCCCTAGGTAGGATCATTATTGGGTATGAAAGGGGCGTCCTCCAAAGGCTCAGTTATTTGTAAGTAACAACAGAGTGAGGTTTACCACTTTTTAAAAAACTACATAGGCAAATGGTCCAACTATTTAAAAACATTTCTCAGTGCCAGTTGGAAACAGTTCGAGATTTCACCATCTATGATCCATAATATCATCAAAATATTATAAGGGACAAAACTGAAAACCAATATTGATGCCTTTGATCTTTGATCTTTCAGTCAGCACTTGTGAACAACAACGCGTTGTAATTAATCATGTAATTAAATTACAGAATAATGTTGTCAGAATCAGTTACAGTCACTGATAAGAAAATAAAAGATATGTAATCAAATTAATCAAAATGTTGGTGATAACGAAAGGGTTGCATCTGGATAACTTCTTTTCAGTAAAAACAGTAGAATAAAACATTGACTCTGTTGCTTTCCATCTTCTTGCCATGCAGGAATGCCTTCTTTGCCATAGCCTATTTCCAGACATTTACTGTCTGTGAATAGGCTTTCTTTACCATCCAGCAAACATTTGTTAGAAAAGTAATCAAAATGTAAATAAAGTTACATAACTTTAAAGTTGCATAATTCTGATGAGGTAATCAAAGTAGTTACTTTACTTCACATTTTTACTTAGATTTTTGGCTGGACTGCAGGGTCGAAGCCAGCCCTGTAAACGCCAAAGTCTGACTATGAGTAAGTGAGTGATGAAGTTACACCATTGTTCAGAGTGAGTGATGACGTGAGTTTTGGTGCTTCCCCATTGGCCATTGCTGTTTTAAAAAATAAATAAATAAATGAATAGAGGCTGACAGACTGACAGTATTAATCATTTTCTCTAGCCTGTGTAGCATGATAGCATAGGGGAGTTAGCAAGCTACATGATTGATATTTCACAACTTAATACTTCACTAACACACTCGTGTCATAGTGTAGGAAAGCACATTGTTGTCTTCAGATGAGTGACATGTTTGTTCGGCTAATTTTATGTCACCACTGTAAAACTACCACATAAAAGCGTGATGGAATTAGTAGCTGGCTAGAAAACTAGCCAGACGTGGGTGAAATGACAGTTTGGCAACTGAACGGGAATGTGAATTACTTTGAATAACTGTAGATACCTTCAGTGTGTCCCCAACAAGAGGCAATCAACTTTAACTTACTGAAATAGAACGTAAAAACAAAAGTGAAACCAATCAATGAAAATCGCTGATAGACAAGAATTAAATTGAATGAGAAATCCAAAGAGGAACATTACCACTGTTAGATAAAGTAAATGGTGGAATCTGGAAAGAAAGGAAAAAAGTTCAAACTAGTTTTTAAAACACATCACAACAACACGAGCACTCAAAAATTACATTGTGGCACTTTATTACTGTGTTAGTACAAAACGATCCAAAAATCAGAGCATAAATGTAGTAATAATACATATGTTCCATTTGCTGTTGTTTCATACATGGTTACTCTTGTATGGAGACACTGGTCTCTTTGTACTTTAATTAACCTGTGTGCTTTTTCTCTGTGAAGATTGACCCACACAGTCTGGGCACCAGGATGGACCTTGGGACCTCCAACACCTCAAACACCACAGTTAATCCAGCTCCTGTCAGTTTGGATGCACGGCCAGGGACTTCAAGGAGCTGCAAAGCACCCCGTATGTGCGCTGCTTGTGGCAAAGCCACGTCGGTCCTCGGCCACTTTGTGCACAAAAAAAAGATTTTCTGCCAGTCCACATCTGAAGGGGTCACCCTGGAGGAGTGGATACAGAAAAATGTGCCTAGAACCACCAGGTGGAGGTGGAAGGTCCAGGAGGAGGCCATCATGGCCGGGGTTATACTAACCCCAAAAAAGCACCATACCTGCAGCATGTGCAAAAAGAGGATGACGAGGGACGCCGGTCACAGCGTGCACAAGGCCACACGTCAGTCCTTCTGCCAGGCCACTGACCCTTTGGGCAGGACAGTAGAGGAGTGGCTCACAGAGATTCGTGGTGGGGTCTCCACAAAAGACTTTATCAAGGCAAACCTTAAAAAAAGATGGAGGCGGTACCATCAAAAACCAGATGTGCAGGAGAAACGGAGACAGAAAAGGAGGGAGCAGTATCTCATAGAGAAGAAGGCAAAAGAGCTTAATAAGCAGAAGAAGGTGGAGGAGAAAAAGTAGTTTAGGAGAGGTGTGTATATAGTATGAAGATCAGTGAAGGGCTGCACACTTAATTGAATATTAATCATGCACACTTCGGCTTCCCATAATTAAATGATCGACTGGGATATTGATGTTTAATGTGTGTGGTCTGCACATAGAAAACTGCTGCATATTAAATCAAGTGCCTGCAGCGCGTTCATCCTGCAGCAGCAGTCTGTGAGAGACTATCCTGAGCTTTGCAACAGCAGACGAGCTAAACTAAATAAATCCGTCATCAGTCATCATTATCCATTGTTTGGAAGTATTTCAGATTTAGGTGCGAGGTGAAAGCAGTCCTCTGTTAATTTAAATGTGAAAGTACAATAAAAATATTTTGTCCCTAAAAACAAAAGATAATCATGATATATAAATGCGATCTCAATATTGATAAAAATAATCGTCATTATCATTTTTGATAATTGTGCTGCTCTAGATCAGTGTGTATTATAGTTTGATACTAATCTCGCATTACATTAGACTTTATTCCCTGTTGTTCATAATCCTGCAATTTAATTTCAGCTGCTGCTGGCTAGTAAATGTTGTCAGTATTTTCTGCTTGTCATTCCAACACATCAATTCCTCTTTTTTCTGTTTTTTTTGGTCTCCAAAGTTTCGGTAACGTTAGTAATCAACAGCAAATGCTCAGCCTTTTGGCCACTGAGGTGTTGCTGAACTTAAAGTGGGTAAAATCCTATTTCATTGTAAAGCTGCCCGCAGCATATTGATTCGCTTGGCCCATCCTAAACCTGCTCTTGCTCTGTTAATCACGAGACAGGGACACTTGGCCCACACATGGTGACGGGACTAACTGGCTAACATTACCAAATGGTTAACAGATTTAATGACAGAGTTAAGTCATTTTGGTGTCAGTGTGAGTTTGTTGAGACCATTTGACTGCTCAGTGCCTGACATTCGCTGTTGCTGTATTAGCACGCGCTAACCAGACAGACTTATTTATTCACCTTGTTTATCGAGGCTATAAAGTATTGGGCTTTTTAAATAAACTTCCAACACTCAGCTGCTGTGACATTTTGCAGTGGTATCTACCAATGTACCAAGAGTTCACCTCTGCGGACAAACTCAGCTAGCCAATGGGGTCATGTACATGAGATCTAACACAAGATTAGATGTTAGCTAATTAATATGCGCATGCCATCAACTGGACAGGGATGTGAATTACTTAAATTACGTAAATTACTGTAGATCTGTCAAAATGACTGGCTGCCTTAAGATTTTTCCATCACTGTGAAATAAAAACTTAAAAAAATATATATATTCTGGACCTCTGCTTTCTTGTAGTCTGATATTTTGCTTGCTCATGTATATTTGGCTCTTTCTTGTATTTTCTTATATTAAAGTCTTACTCTTGTTTTGTTGTACAGTTTGTCCTCTTGAAACCAAAGAAAGGCATTTTTGAAGGATCACTACCTCCAGGCCCCAGACGGTAGCAGTTTCTTATCATCAGGGCAGCAGCATGGCTGATTAAGCATTCAAAAGGAACAAGGGGTTGTTTGAAACATGAGGTACATCCCAAATTTCTTATTTGTTATTTCCTTGCTACTTGATCATCACTTGAACCAGAAGACGCCATTTCTTTGACTCAGTACCAAACAGGGCTGCAACTAATGATTATTTTCATTGTCGACTAATCTGTTGATTATTTCTTGGATTAGTCAACTAATCATTTTATTGAAAATTTGTTAAAATGTTGAAAAATGTCGTGCTTCCCAAACCCCAAAATGATGTCATCTTATGTCTTGTTTCGTACTCACACCTAAGGGTTTTAGTTCACCGTCATGGGAGAGTGTGTAAAGCTGCCAATATTTGAACGTAAGAAGCTGTAATAGGAGTATTTTGGGGTACTTTTATAGTACTTTTCTATGAAAAATGACTCCAATTAGTCGACTACTAAAATAGTCACCGATTATTATAATAGTCGATTAGTCATCGATTAGTTGACTAATCGTGGCAGCCCTAGTACCAAAGCTCTTACTTTAGCTCTGCTAATGATCATTTTAACGTGACCGGTTCATGGAAGGAAAAAATTGACAGATTTATGGACTATATCAATCTACACTGAGAATCAGACGAAATGCCAGGTATAAACTGACGACGCCTTTATGTAGAGTAGCGGGTAGAGTGTCCCTTGATGAGGTTCCAGCTGAGCTCAATTACACCTGTCAGTTGCCTGATATCTGTGAAATGTCGCAGGTTTGGAGGGTGGATGTGTTTCTGTTGTGCCCTGACGCATTTTTTTTGGGTGCAGTAAACTATCTCACATGCAGATGTGGGATATGTGCAGACAAATCATGATAAATGATAGTCATGATGATTCATTTCATATTTGTGTGCCTGATGTGCACAGCACATACAGGAACACACTTGTTATTCCTCCTACTTATTTTTCTTATTACTTTTCTTCTGCCAGATTTCGGTGTGTAACTTGTGCCACAGCTTTGAGTGCACATAGGGTCTTCATAAAACATATAGATTCAAGATTCAAAGTGTTTATTGTCATATGCACAGTAAAGACGTGTTTCCCTGCAGAATGAAATTTGTTCTTCGCTGTCACTAATTAATGCTAAGCAATAAAAAGATCAAAATATATACGGTGCGCACTGTTTTAACATCTTGCTTAGTGTAATATTAATTTGCCTGACGGGGCTGATCTGTGAGCGTTTGGTCGCAAAGAAGACTGTTAAGAGTGGGTCAGCTCAACCATACAACTCCTCCTTAGTGAAAGATCTTCTTAAGCTAAGTGCGAATCTGGGAAACGCGTTTTTCGGGAGGCTTAAGAGTGTTCTTAAGAAGCTCTTAGTGCTAAGATCTTCTTAACTGGATCTGGGATACACAGCCATTTCCATTCAGTCACACCATGAGGCTGATCATTCCTGAGTGTTGGGTTGATGAGTTACAGAATTTCAATTTTCCCTAAAAACATTTTGCCAAAGAAATAATGTTCATCATTCAAAAGACAACATAATCATATTTTGGGCTGTTGAATAATGAATTCACAATTACAATATCAATAAATACAGATGCAAATAAGGAATAAGTCATAGAAAGGCATTCTGTGCCTCCAAACAGGACACAGTACATACTTAAGATAGAATGCAGGTTATTCATGTCAGTGTTAATCTTGACAGCTATTTTAGATTTAATCTTAGCGTTGAGATGAAAATGCTTCGTTTTAGTCACATTTTAGTCACTTTTATCCTTCATAGATTTAGTCGCCAAATATTCATCCCACTTTTAAGTCATGTTTTCTATATGATTTTTTTTTATCTTCAAACTAATCCAGTGAGGCTAATTCATGTATCAAAAATAAGAATCAAGGTGACAGCTTGTATAAAATGTTAAGACATTTTTTTTCTACAACTACAAATAATTTCTGCACACTTAAAAAAGGGTTAATTGAGACTACAGTACACCATCACACCGAACACGCCTTTACAGCCTCATTGTGTTAGAGATGTTAAGTCATGCGACCGTAGAATAGTTAGTTTATATCCTAACAATAGCTTTTTACCTCTGGCGATTGCATATTCAGGCTTTAAAAAATTGTCTTTATTTGATGAACAAAACATGCAAGTATCATACACATTGGTTTGCAACAGGGCTTATTTTCTGTAATAAACTGAAATCGAATGGAAAAATCCCATAGGTTTTTTGACGAGGGAACCAGCTGGCCTACAGAAAAATATCACCCTTGCAGCACTCTATAGCCTGTATGCACGGTCTGAAATTACCAATTAGTCAGCCAATATTAATGTTGCTATGGCACTAATTACTTAGAAATAAAAAACTGCAAGCACAACCAAACTATTCATACCAGGCTTTTTGAGGGCATCCCTCCTTTTGGGGTCCCACAGTCCCACTTTCCCCTGACTACAATGCTCCTGATGAGTTGTTGAATACATTTAAATAATTTTGCTACAGATTTTGCTCTGGCCTCTTCTTTTAGTTTGTTTCAGTACATTTCATTGAGATAATAAGGTTTGTTGAATACAAATGTGTATATATTTGTATTTTTTCATCTACCAGCCACCTTGCTGGTGCGTCAAAAAGTTAATTTTGGACACTGTGTGACGGAGACAGGTCTGCTCAGCTGACTTATTCACAGCAGCAAACTGAGGACATCGGTGAGGAATATGCATTCTCATTTTCACACACACACACACACACACACACACTTTTATCACTGAGACTGTCCTACAAAATACAACATAGGTGATTTGTAGAAACTTATTACGGCTTATATTTTTATTTATTGATAGGCAGCAACCTCTAGTGGCCATAATAATAACGACCAGAGAAGAGCAACAAAGTCCATGAAGGGAGGAGGTCAGGGTGGATGGATTGGTCAAACACAGGAATTTGACCCAGGAGACCAAATACCAAAGTTGAGTTATTTTTAACTAAGGCATTCATCACTTTATGTTACATTAGTAACAGACATACCAGTTTTGACCCAAACCATGATCTTTTTTCTGAACCCAACCGAGTTGTTTTGTTGCAACTGCATCCAACAATTCTTTAACATTCCAAAACCAACAATCCAACCTGTGCTCACGTCATGCGGTGATAGGTCATGAATTTTGCCTCTCATAGTTAGAATTTTGTCATTAAAAAAGCTCATAAAATCATTACTGCTGAGGGCTAAAGGAATACAAGGCTCAATAGAGCTGTGACTCTCAGTCAGCCTGGCTACAGTGCTGAAAAGAAACCTGGGGTTGTTCTTATTTTCTTCTATTAATGCTGAGTAATATTTCAGTTGTAGATTACAGCAGCAGGCAGTCCTGCAGCTGTCTGTGTGAACACTGCGCAGTGTGCGCGTGGGTGTTTGGAGTTGTTTTAGCGTTACAATGGTGACAGAGATATTTTGCAAAATGAGGTTGTTAAATGGAGAGGAAAAATATCTGTTTACAAAAATATCTGGACAGGTATAGCCAGGATCTTAGTGTAGGCTACCACCCCAAGATGTTTAATGGCCCCATTTGGCCACCCCTGTGAAAAAAAAATTCTGGGGGCACCACTGTCAGCATCCCAAAAGTAAATAGGCTGTACCTAGGCTACATTTAAAAGTTAGAGGACCAAATTTCTCTTTAACTTTCCCTCCACAGAAGCACGGAAACACCGTCAGGAAAATGAAAGGAAATTTACTAAAAAGACAAACTCGTTTTGCCTCATTCAGTCTGCTCAGACGTTGTGGACTGTGGATTTTCTTGTCCGGCATCTCTTATGCGTGACCGCCATGTATGAGGAATAATTAGGCTAGATCAACTCATAAATCTTAAACTGTAGCCTACACAGAGGAACGTAGGCTAAATAATGTTTTGATTACACTTTAAAACGTGAAGGATAAAGAGGGAGGAAGGGGGGAGGTGGAGGGGACTGGGGAGAGTGATGAGGGGGAGCTGATGCAGAGATAGCGACCTGTACCCTAGGCTACACGTTATGTCATGTACCAGTCCACCAGCCCGTTTATGTGCATGTGACTGCCGGTCGTCACGGTTTCTGAAACATCCGTGTAGGTCATATTAGGATCTGGATTGTCTCCTGTCCGCGGCATCATGTCCTCATCCTCTCTGTGTGGCTCACAGACAGACGCAGGATGGTGTTTGCCCCATCGGCGGAACCACACAGCAGCAGGATCATGTCTCCGCCACAGCCGGCCCGCCGCCTCCTGCTGACGCCACAAACACACATGAAAGGTAACTGAGGGTACCGTCGGGCCCGGGGGAAGCGTCGGTGTGTCTGCTGCTCGGGATGAAGCGGGTCTGTGGGGGTTGGAAATAACGCGATGTGCCAGCCTTAGCTGATAGTAAGCGGCATTATGAGGAAAGAAAACGTTACAGCGAGCAGGAAGGTGTCTGATAGAGACCGACTGGGTTAGTTCGTGCTGTGTTGTGCTATTTGGTGTTGTCACAGGATCACTGTGTGTAGATAGATAGATAGATAGATAGATAGATAGATAGATAGATATTGACAGGCAAGCAGACAGGCAGTGTAGCTATTAGGCTATAATTAACCCATTCGCTTCATATGCCATAGGAAAGTGTGTGTGTGTGTGTGTGTGTGTGTGTGTGTGTGTGTGTGTGCGCGCGCGTGCTTCCAGATTTTTCTCATTTCATCTCAGTCTGGCTACAGCAGCTTTAAGGTCATTGTGCTTCACTTGATTGGCCTATTTTCATTTTATTCTACCACGTATTAAGGCTGTCCCTGAATCAGGATCATC